TAGGGAGGACGGGCTGACGGGCAGCAGGTAGGCTGCCGAGCAGCTCAGCCCTACTAGGGGTAGCGTTTCAGGGGGGGACGATTCCGGGGTGTACATAGATTTCCGTTTCAACTTGTTTGAATTAAAATTAATAACATAATTAGTTCGTATCAACTAGACTTTGATAAATTACTTGTCAAGCCCTTGGGGGGGTATGATTCCGGTCGCGGACATATATTTTATACCAGCTGGTTGTCTGGTATCGTGACGTCACGTTTAGCCTGGGGGGTGATGTTTCCGGGGGCGACCATTCCGGCGACCCCTCTATTTTTGGGCCTTCTTTTTTATTGCTCCTCTCGACTCCCTACTAATTTTCAACTTATTTCTTCTTGTTGTCTTCTTTTTGGAATTTTCTATTTGTTTTGATTTGTTTAGTGATGAACGAAGCCATGGTAGATGTCGACAGGCCATACTGACTAAATTTAGATGCTTCTTCAGCTAGAACAATTTTTTGGAAGCCCAATTATCAAAAGCATCTGGGTTCAGACTGGTTCAGTTTAGGGACATCAAAAAGATACTGGTTCAAAGCCGAACAGACTACCTTTTAATTATTAGGTGAGAAATACAAGCGTTCAACCTGTGTTAAATAGTTTGGTCGATAGTGTTGTTACCAAACTGGAGAACAGAATGAAGAGCAACAAATTATAAGAACAAATTTCCTCGGAGAAAAATTGTCCATACTCATGCTAAAGCGAGTCAAAAACTATTATTAATTAGCTAACGAAGATCAAGAATTATTCACATTGGTTCTATGGTTCAACAAGTCCATTCTTATTTATATTTGAAGGTCTTCTATCCATCATGCCCATCACCTTGGGCTATACATAATTGTCGGCGTTCCCCAGGGGTCAACTTTAGGACCGCTCTTTTTTCTCGTCCGCCTATGCCACGTACATTTCCGCCGCCTCTAGTCATATTGAACTGGTTCAATAAACTGCGCATGTCCGTGGAACCAGTTCCTTCTGCCGCTCGTCCGTGACCTCGGCGTCAACAGAGGCTAATAGGAGAAACTTGATTAGCTTGAATTACATTACATTTTTGGCAGAAACATTTAAAGTTGTAGGCAGCGACTTACAAATTGTTGCATATACCATATTCGTTTATAAAACGGAGGTACAATTCATTGAGTTCCAGAGTTGGTCAGTGTCATTAGGGTTTAAGTTAAATTACGTTTGATCTTTGTTGAACAATCGCCTACGTAATTCAAAATTGTACATCGACGAAGAATTTACTTATTACTTTTTGTCGAATGTATAATGCTTATTTGCAAATAGAACTTTGATATTTAACCAGTGATAAGTAACCGAGTAGGTCCGACCGGAGAGAAATCGACCTTCTCTCAGCCAAGCTCGGTCCATCACTCAGTGAGTAAGCCTGAAAACACGACCGTTTGCCGTTAACGAGAGTTTAATAACGCCGCAGTTACTTTACCAACATCTCACCAGCGATGTCATGCGGAACTAATGCGTCGTAACACACGCAACAATCGCATCCGAGATATACCGGATACCTAATTGCGGATACAGATATCTAGCAGCATTATCGATAATCGGGATTGTTAAAAGTATTCAATCGCTTGAAATCTTAGCATAGCTAGTAGAACATATTTACGTAAAACACTTGTTGTTCTGTAAACACTAAAAATATCTTTTAGCTGAAGTCTTTGCTTAACCAATCCTGTCCAATATGATTTTCATTCGTTCCAAGTACATGTTGAATCTGAATCTAGTTTAAATTCTCCAATGAAATTTCTAACGTGTTTTGTGCAGGCCTTCGCAATGGATTTAAATAGCCAGATGAAATTACATCTCATTAACCCCGTTAAACAGCTGCGTATTTTGTAAGGTAGCCAAATCATGAAAGTAAAATGAGACGCGGATCTTTGTGTGAACTGAACTGGCTTTATTTAAGACCTTTATTGAAGACCTGGCTTTCATCTGATCTTGTATAGTGTGACCTCCACTGTATTGACTTAGTATAGAGTCAGGCCACTCTTAGACAAGGTCCTGGATCAGCCGTATGAGTGAAACTCATGCGGTGAGTCATTTGGTGAACGAGAAAGGGCCGATAGTTTTTATATTTGCAGTGACAAGATCCTCAAATTCCAAAGTCCTTGCTTGAAAAGGCTAAAAAGTATGCCGTTTCAACCAGTCAGCCCATGCTCTGAATGACTTCTGGCAGAAAGGTCGCTTCAACGCCAAAGACCTTAGTCCCAGGGTCCCAGGTGACATTCAGACCAGATTCACTGAGACCTGCTTAGTTGTTTGAAACCAGTTTCGTAAAGGCTCTCAAAACTGGTCGGCGTTGACGTCATACTTTCGGAGGGTTTTGTCAACAGAGGACCTTGACATTGGAAGACCTTTCCACGTTTAAAAGGAACATTTTCTGCCACTTATTCGACGAATCATGGTTTGACGGTTCAAAAATAAAGAAAAGGACGAGTAAAAACAAATAATAATATTTTGAATCTTAATTTTGCTAATTGACAAAGATGTCAGCTCCTGTCTAGTGGCTATTGCTCCGCAGTCGGATTGTATCAGCAATATCTGCTGAGTGACGACTCAGCGCGGCCCTGAGGCAATAACGGCACAGCCTCGTCCTCTCACTGCCCACTGGTCCACTGGTCTACAGCAGATATATCGTCCGCACATGTTGGAAAGCTAAATGTTCCTAGGTGAAATACATTCTCATTGAGTACAGAACGGACGAGGAAGCAATAGGCGACATGGTTTATGGTTATATCTTGCGGGCTTCTACTTAAAGAGTAGTGAAGTCGTCGAGTTTCCTGAAGCTACTGTTACCGACATTAATATTTAATTGGATGTTGCGATTGAGGCTTGATCTAGCATTTCCTCAAAATTGTATGTATAAACGAAATTCTATAGAGTTTTGAACAAATCTGGCTGGTGCTGAACAATCTGTAAACTGAGATGCGGTGCTATTGAAACAAACTGGCAAAGTGGCTATTTAGTGGCTACGACAGAAATGTTGTCATTAGACTACTTTGCATCTATATTCAAACCAAAACACCCTGCCCGAAAACCACAAACCAACCGTACAACCATCCTCAATAAAACAAACCACTCAACCCAACCCCAACCGGCAGCTGTGGCAGAATTGAGCGTATTCCACACACTCTCTCGTAATTTACACGTCTTTACTACTGCTGCTACCCTTTCCCCGGATGAAGAGGACAAAGTCCTAAAACAGCCTCAGTCCAGTAGGGTTTCAGCTCTCTGGATTGGAAAGTCACGAAGAAGACTTCTGGTTGAATATTCAGACATGAACACACGATCATTAAGATGTGCAGATGATGTGATGGTTATACACAAGTAGAAATTTATACCGCTTACTCAGGGTTTGACTCATTACAGGACTAAATCTTCTCTCGACAACCAATGAGAGCATCATGTGTTTGGTTTTTATCAACACTGTGTTCTAGGAATTCTACGACGGCGCTGCCATCGTTGTCGTAACTATCGCAACTCGATGGAACGCTGTTTGTATCTGTAATGGTCTTCAGATTCGTCGAACTCTTGTTTAACTTTTCCTCTTTTGATTTCTTTGTTGTTCTGTCTTAATAGTTGTTCCAAGAATGATGAGGAAAATCACACTGATCGGGTAATATTGCTTGTTGAGAGATGGTTATTTTTGGAGGATTTCAATCAGTTTAGTTGACAGAAAAGCGATATTGATCAATTAAGGTGTATCATATGGTGATTCTAGTGATGCTAGGCCAACATGGACTCGATGGACTCGCTTGCTATACACAGTAAGAAGTATCAGTGAGTTAATTATCCATCAGTATAGTTTGAGTTGAGTGGAGACTTAATGGTCAACAAAGTTTAGTGCACAGTTCGCTCTAAAATTGGGCTTTATGCAGTGAATTTTGTTTGATGTTGGATAATGGAGATCCCACACAGAACTGTTGTAGCACTAGCCAATATAGAGCCCAAGAACAACTCACTCTCCTGAACAGGTCCCTGAACTAATCCCAGTAATGACCAGTTCCTTGGTAATGGTAATTGTACAGCCCCAATTCACGACCTCACCGTGGGAGTGGTCCAGGCACTCATCACAGTTTTTATAGTTCCCCGAACTGCAAAACCTCTTTGTTGTAGAATTCTTCAGTTATGACCGACTTCCGAGGGGTGCCCGGAGTTGTTAACAGCCCATAACATACCATTGTGCATAACCCCCCATAATGTGCTGTGGTGTAATTGTCTTATTTTTTACCAGAAAATGTGTTGTGAGTTGGAAGTGTTCGTGGATATGTGAAACTCAATTAGCTTTTTGCAAGGAGTAATAACCTCAACGTTACCTTTGGTGTTGCTTTTGTATTTACGAGTACCATACCGAGTAAGGGTGTCAAGCAGTAGCTAATGTTTGTAAATGTGCGCTTAAGCAGAGCGGATACAGCACACAAGGAGAAGAATCTCAACAAGTCAACACATAAAATACGAGTATGCAAATAACTAGATCGAAAACTATATACTTTATTGCTTTTACGCAACTTTAAATTCTCATAAGATCCAAAAGTCCGAGACAAACTTTTTACCTAGTGCAAATGCGAATAAATTATTTTCAACCAATTATACTAATCTTAATCTTATTTTCACTGTATAATACATTTAATTAATGAAAGACTCCCAATATACGTTAAAGAGTCCAGATGATTCTATTGATTTAATTAGCTAAATTATTCGTTTGTGTACAAAACGTGCGTTTTATTTTAATTTGTGAAATTAGCTGTAATCTATGGAAGGAATTACAATAGTTTATAGTTTTCAGCTCTGATTTTTCTGTCTTGGGAAATGTGTATAGTATCTTTTCTTTTAAGCTGATGGATTATTACTGATATATGCTTCACATCGTAGGTTGTTCTTTGTAGGAAAGTTATCCTATAGCTATAGGAAGCTTAAATGTTAATACATTTATTTTATATTCAACGTTTCTCTCACCTTAGAGACGACATCAGGCTCGACACTGTGCCTCCAGGGCGATCCATTGATGGTGAGACCCTGGACAACCTTCAGTCGCCGCTCCTCGTCGTCCGCGTTGGGCGGCATGTCTACCTGAAACAGGGGAAAATGAACCTTAGTATCGACGGGATAAGAACCATAATATCGAACAACAGTGCTAGTTGGTATACCTAACCGTAACAGCTGAAAATAAACCTTGGTGTCTAGGGTATACAGGGTATCATAGATAACAACAGTGGTAGATTATATTAATACGTCAAAACACTTGGGTAGCCTGCGGTTTGTATTTTATGGTAAATGTGAGATTTCATGTGGTTGAGATGGTGATTTGACACTGATTAAGATCTTCTTTTTTAGCCAGGACGATTTATTGAAAGCCCAATTATCAATGGTAGAAGAAGTGCTTAACAGGGATAGCTGAATATAAAACGAAGGGTAACCTAAGCAATGGTGGAAAAAAGAGGTGTCCCAACAGGAACAGTGATTGGGTTATGACATTGTTTGTGTTGTGTTGTTGTTTGTTGTTGGTTGTTGATAGTGGAGTTGAAATTACCTCAAATTAAATACTTTTGTTCATATAGTATTCATATTGAACTAGTAAAATTGCTCTTAGGACCAAACGCACTTAATTGTATAAAATAACTACGATGTATTTTTGGGGATGCAAAATCGTGGAATTTATCATAACCTACTAAATCATTTTGGTTAACACCCCAAAAAGCAATTTTAAACATTGGGAGACCAAAGCTATAGTAGTATAGTAGTATAGTATAGTATCTATAGGTAGTATTATCACACTTGACCTCGATTACTTCCCAAATACATTCAGATATGCATTGCACCTGTTTTGATTACTAGACAACGTGGGATTAAAAGCCTCACACATGGGTATGTTTAACATTTTTCAAAAATCTACATAATCTTTCCGGTAACTCACCAACAAGACTTCCTTCTGCTGTATACCATTTTAAGTCCTACGTATTCAAACAAACACTTACTTAAAGGATCTAAAAACCAATTTAAAATAATTCATCATTTGTGAAGGACTTGGTGTGCAGTCTTGTACAGTTACGTGTATCATAACAGGTCTCTATACTTCATTACACTGTCCACTTGTCCAGCTTCCTGAAGGATAACGGGAATGACATTATCCTGTCTTGAAGGATACTGATTGTCCTACAGGATGTCCCATCATGGCCAGGGAGATAGGATGATTTGTAACCACAGTTAGGAATTGTAAGTGTTTACTGAGCTATTGAAGATAAATCTAAGGAGACTTCATATATTAGGGTGTGAAATTAAAATTTACTTCCAATATCTATTTCGACAAGCCACTCTAAATATTTACACAAAATAAACATCAAATAACAATATACAATATGTAATGTTTGATATTTCAAACATCAAATAATGAGTGAATCTAAAATTCAGAAATCGTTCTGTAGATAATTCGACACACAAGGGTGAGAAACTATGAATTCCTTCATTGTTAAAGAAGAGCAGTTAGAATACTTTAAAAATGCAATTAAATGCGTTGAGTTAAAATTTCCATCCACTCTTTTTTGGTAGGTAGTTCTGAATGTCCACACCTCTTTTAAATACAAAGGTTTGGTTGGTGCAATTATAAATTAATTATAAGTCTAAGTTAAGGCTTGATTTTTTCGACACCTATATCTCAGGATTTGTATTATAAGGAAAAGATGAGTGAAGGATATACTAAAGTCAAATGAACGAGATGATCAGTTTGTTCGTTTGCCAGAACCGTTCATAAAACACCTGATGATTTAAGTATGTTGGGTCAATTTTCGAACCATAAACGGCTTCAGTTACGACTTTGGAAATTAAATAGTGAGGTAATAACCAAATTACAGAGCCAACTGATAGATGAGTCACGTGTTTTGTACAACTATTACGAAAGTTATTACCCTAACACTTGACAACCAGTTTGGTTATACAATAAGATAAATTCCCTCCAAACTGGGAATACGTTGACGTAATCGAAACAGAAGTTAGTTGAGAAACAGCTGATTGAATAATACGTTAATAACAGATGATTAGATAACAAGAATACAGCTGATTTGGTGAGAAGAAGAATAGGTCATTGCAACGGTACCATAAATGAGTATGTAAAGAGAAACGGTTTTGCGATGCGATGGTCGGAAGAAAAATCGTATTGCATTATGTAGTATCGATATGTTCAAAGAAATAATTATTCTATTTAATTACAATATAAATCAAGTCAATACATACAAAAACGTTATCGTTATTCAATTTGAAAATTATTGTTGAAACTTTTTGTTGTGGCCCTTTGATGAGATTGATGGTGTGAAAACTGATTATTGATTCTGTGGTGATGTGATGTATTGATTGTAATTAAGTGAAATGTGTTGGTAATTGGCTGTTGTGGGTGTTAGGGCCTGGAGGACCCTAACATGTTGCAATTAAGAAAGTGCTGTACTCTACTACCATCTAGAAATAACAATTAAATTGGAAACGTTGTTGGGGAACCAGAGGGCGGAAATCTTTACCCAGACCAGAAGCAGGCCAAGCCAGCTTTGATTACTTATTTTTAACTATTTAAAAGAACTATAGCTAACCTTCCAAACTAAACTGGTAGATAGTGTAAATGGTAATGAATAAAAAACAGGTAAATATCACTCTCTAACTCATTACTGAATCAATTTGGACTCATAAGGCGATTCCTGAAAGAATTGATACTTAAGCCTTCAACGTGGTGATTTTTGCATGTCTAGGAATGATTACCTCGTTAAGCGAGGTAATCATATAATTTGGAATTTACATTTCTGCGAATGGGGCGAAAGCCTGCCGGCTTCCCCTTAAATAATTAAACTAGCCTATCATCCTGGTCTTAGCTCTACTTAATAATTAATTATAGACTCATCCTGATAAAACGAAGGCATGTCGATCTCAGTAAACGGACAATCAGAAAATCCAACGAAGGGGACGGAGGCCGGCGACAGACAAGACCGAGGAAAACTCGATTTCGTAGCTCCTTGACGTTTCTCGAAAAAAAGGCAAGCGGCAGACCGAAGGAGGCGCGCCGATCGCAAGGCCAGCGATTTAGTTGTGTGGCACTATATAAAATAGTGGCGCTGAGCGTCACAACCACCCCCCCTCAAGGTTTTTTTTTTTTTTTTTTTTTTTTGGTTAGGGAAGGAAAGTAGAGGTGTGTAGTGTTTCAAAAAGGAAGGTTGTCGCTCGAGTTGCTTCTCCGCATCATAATTTCTGGGTCCTCAGATACCTTTCCCGGTTTGGTTCAAAAGGAAGCCGAGAAATCGATGGGTGAAACAGAAAACCCCAAAATGAAAAGAAACGATAGTTTTACCAACAATATATCGAACAAAGCGACGCGTATTGCGGATACGGTAGGAGACTATTCGGTTGTATTACGTCATCGTCATGATATTCCCATAAGATTTCATCGCTAGATCTGTAGGACGTGGGACTTGACACATCCGTAAAAAAACTTGTGTCGCAGTCGGGGTCATCACTTGTGGGAAAACACAGTACTCCTTATTTTGTCGAGATGTATAAATATTTTTGTTAGTCATGCCTTTGTTGCAGCTATAGAGTTTCTTAGTTTGTTTTCTAATCAAAAACATTATTAAGTATCCCTAAAACATATACCTTATTATGAAGTGCCAAATGCATTCACTAACAAGTACTGAGTTCGATGGATTACCTAACTTGTATCTATCAAACCCCGAAGAAAAATGTTAAAGTCAGTTCCTAGGAGATATCGACAGTTTCAATTTCTATTTATCATCGAGCTACTTAACTATGTTCTCAGCAATAATAATAACTCTTACACCAAAAATAAAGTAGGACTTTTCACTTTTCTCGTATCTTTTAACAAACTTTAAATCAAATACTCCAATATTTTAACACCGTGGACTGTTGAATTCTGAAGTAGTCATTCCATTTCACATGGACCTACAATAAACAATTTTGTTTTCAAAAAGAAAATAGTTGGATGAACTTCAAGTTGCTACAAAGAGTAGCAGTTTAATTCATATTTTCTTTCATACTTTTTGTCGCTTTGATAGTTGTACAAATGTACAATAGGTTGTAGGCCTACTTTTAGTTTGGATAGGTTTTGAAGTTGGTGTATCCGACATAAATCAGTAATTGCAGCCGCAATGTCTGACTATGGCTTCGTTGTTAAATAACGTTTTTTTTTATTCTAGGACTACAATAGAACTGTAGCTATAGCCTCTATTATGGGAATGGGAAGCATATCACTGTCAAAGACCATACATACAACCAAATGATACCCGGTCAACTCTAATTTACCTATTTTATAATTTTCGAAATCTCCAAGTTTGAGTTCTGCTTTCTTCTGCTCTGACCGGTCTCCATATTCCGCATCTGGTTCTATATCATAACTTTCCGCGGGTAAAATATCGCCATCGCTGGAGCTGAGACCTACGACCTTGTAGCTGCTGGAGACTCGTAGGACGGGTTTACGGAGATTTGTAGCGTTGATAGCCACAACTAATGGACTGGACTGAGTTCGATGTCAAGTGTGAGAACATGCTTCATTTTTGGCCAGCTGCGAGCAGAGTTAGATTTCTATACGTTCTAAAGTTCGGACCTCTTGTTACGAATCTCGAGTTCTTTTCATCTCAGATGTATCCGAGATCGGAGTATAAAGTCATTCGTGTATGCAAATGTTAACTTTGATGTAGCAATGGGTTTTGTTGGGTTGTGCTATATTTTACGGGCTTATCAATTTATGCGGTAAATCTGTTAACAGAATATCATATTGGTTGTGGCTATAGTCGGTTGATCAATATATAGAATTAAAAATGATGACAATTATGAGAGTTTGTAGTAATCTAGATCTATTATTGATTGATGTTTTCGTTTTTAAAACTAATCAAAACATAGAAGCCGCAAGTGAATTATTAAACCATTCAATTTTCTGTTCAATAGTGTTAGGGCCAAAAGATACATTGTGCGTTTTTTAATAAAATGTTCTCCATTGAGACATAAACTTTAACAACACTTCCTTAAATGTTAGCAGATCGCTTCACCTTGGGCGCAATCTCAATGGTACAAATTCCGAAATT